AAAGACAAAAAAATCAATTATTATAATATTTCTCTCTCTTTCATGTCATCATTATGTACACTATTAGGACCGATCTCTCACTCATACTGGACAGAAGATATCATCGATGACGTGGGAAGATGTCATCGATGTGGTCTTGCCACCTTACTGGTGGAATTTAAAATATCGATGAGGTGTCAATACCATATCTTGCCACCCAATCGGTGGACAAGATATCTATTGTCCACTATGTGCAAGAGATCAATCATGTGTACAACATTATATATATTATTATGCACAAATACATTGCTCAGTTTGTAATTGCGATTTACAATTTGTATATTGAAAGGTTTATAGTTATTTATTTTTCCTTTATTTCTTGTCATCTAATGGTGGAAATCAAAGTGTAGCCCCCTTGCATGACCATTGAGTAAGGATGTGGTGGACAACCAACTCAATCGCACTAAGCCTCAAGCCCATAAATTTTTAGCCCTTGTTTGGTCCCTCTTAAATTAAAATTCATTTTTCTCTCTCTTCTTATCAACCACACATTCGCCTATAAAATAATATTACAAATAAACCTAACAAATTTTTTTATATTTTTAACCACGCATTCTTCAAAAATTACTATTCCTTTCATATCAAAATAATGGACACCAAACAGGGGCTCAATAAGGGGAATTTATATAATACTAAGAGTTTAAAGATCATAATTCAAAAATCAGGGATAAGGTTTCGTTATTCAAAAATTAGGTATTGATATAATAATTGTAAATTAAGCCCCTGTTTGATTCCCATTATTTTTTCATTAAAATGAAAAATATGACCGTTATCCATCATATCAAGTCACCAAATTTGAATTTCTATTTCTTGTGTGGGGTCCGTAACGATTATATTTTTCATTCTCATTCTTCAAAAAATGAGAAACAAACGGGGGCAATGTTTTCACCAAATTCAATTACAAACCCTAATTTTTATTTCATTCTTCTCACTCTCCCTCTCCATCTCCTTCTTATCCTTCTCATGCCTTCCTTTCTGTCAGATGTCGTCGCACTATCGAAGCACTCGTTGCGGGAATCGCGTTGTCGCCACCACTTAAGTAGCACCGTGCTACTTAATGAAAAGATCGAAGCCTCTGCATGCGAAATTGCATGGAGAGATTTGAAATCTTCTTCGATTTGTGGCGTTTTTCCAACGATTTTCTGTGGCCCATGGTTTGCACAGTAGTGGTGGTAGTACGACTCGGAGATGGCAGCACTGTGAGTAGCTCTACTTATTTTGTTGTTGTTTTGATCGTTGGATGGTGTTTTACGTAGAGGTAGGATGGTGTTTGTGTGGTGGCGGATTTGATGATTTTTTTAGTGGCTAGTTGATTGGAGGTGGAACAAGATGTAGTGGCTGATTTTTTGGGGCATGACGGGTTGAAATTGTCATACATTGTCGTTGTATGTGGTGGTGGAGCTGCTAGCGATGATGGTGAGGTGGTGGTGAAGACGATGGTAGATTTGGTGGCGATTTTTGTAAGGTGGTATAGGTGGAGATGTTGATGGTGGTAGTGGTAGTGACGATCGACAATAGTAGTGGTGATTACAGTGGTGCGGTGGTGGTGGTGTTGTGGTGCTGGCGACGATCGCAAGGTAAGGGTGGGCGCAAGTGGCGGTGGCAATAGTGTTGGCCGTGGCGGTATGTGACCCAATATTAGGTATATGTGACTAATTATTTGATTATTTGTTACCATAATATTAAACTGTGACTTTAAAATTTGATAACTTATGACTGAAATATAATTTGAGACCAACAAATTTGAAAATCTGTGACTGATAGATAAACTGTGACCTATAAAATTTTTGATTTGTAATTTCGAAATAATTGTGACTAATTAATTTGATAATATGTGACCAATAAATAAATTATGACCTATAATTGTAAATTTGTGATCATTAATTGTATGACTGTGATTTTATTATATGTATTTAATAAATATTTTTAATTAATTAAATATTTACCTGAATTTTGAATTTTTAAATTATACACCTAGTTTTGATTTTTTCTCGTTTAATAAAAGGGAAAATTTCATAACTAAGAAATTAATTATGGCACATTTCAAAAACAGGAAAACAAGTTTCAAATTTTTAAAATCAGATTTTTATTAAAAATTATTTATAATTTAATTAGTTAATTAATTATTTTATTAATTAAATATATTTAGGTCACAGATCTATACAATTTGATCACAAATTAACAATATAATTAGTTACATATTATTTTTTGGTCACAAATCAAAAATTTTATGTCACAAATTTTTTTACGATCACATTTCAAAAAATTTGTAAGTCACAGTTTGTTTATTGGTCACAAATCCAAAAATAATTAGTCACGGATTAATTTTTAGTCACAACTTATTTTTCGGTCACAAATTAAAAATTTTACAGGTCACATATTATTTTTCGATCATGAATCAAAAATTTTATAGGTCACGGATTAATTTTTCGATCACAACTCAATAGATTATAAGTCAGAAACACAAATTTTATAGGTCACAGATTAATTTTTCGATCACAACTCAATAAATTATAAGTCACAAACACAAATTTTATAGGTCACATATTATTTTCGATCATGAATCAAAAATTTTATAGGTCACGGATTAATTTTTCGATCACAACTCAATAAATTATAAGTCACAAACACAAATTTTATAGGTCACATATTATTTTCGATCATGAATCAAAAATTTTATAGGTCACGAAATCAAAATTATTATTGGTCACATCTAATTTGGTCGCAAATTAACAATTTAATTAGTCACTTATTATTTTTTGGTCACGAATAAGAAATTTTGTCACAAATTATTTTACGATCACAATTCAAAAATTTTGTAGGTCACAGCTCGTTCATCGGTCACAAATCAAAAAATTTATGAGTCACGATTAATTTTTAGTCACAACTTATCAAATTATTGGTCACAACTTATTTCTCGGTCACAAATCAAAAATTTTATGGGTCACAAATCAAAAATTTATAAGTCACAGATCACAAATATTACAGGTCACAAATTAAAAGACAGTCACAAATTATTAATTTTTTACATCACACAATATTTCTTGGTCACAATTTTTTTTAGATCACACAATTTTCATCGTCATAACCATCGCCCGTCACACACCAACACAACAATTGGGAATCACAAATCACTAAATGATTGGTCACAACACCACCTCCTCAAACTGCCGTCGTCGCCCCCACGCAACACCACGTCAAACCGCCGTCGTCACCCCCACACAACACCACCACCACCACCACCAGCACAACCAAAATCGTCACAACCACCGTACTGCCCCCCACGAACACCACCACCATTGCACCGCCCCCACCAAAAAAAATCCCCAAGCTGCCACTGGACTCTACCACCATCCCGCCGCCTGTATCAACACCTCCACTCAGCCACAACACCAGCACATACAACCCACCACAAACACATCACCACCACCACGAACAACCACCGCCCACAGTACACACACAATACCACCACATCACAAGCCCACGACACTGCACAACCACAACACACAACACAATAGTCAATCACGGCCAGATCCACCGCCGCAGCCCACAGTCTAACAACCATTTACCAAAAAAAACCCACCGATTGGTGCCTTGGCGAAGTTCGGATACATCGCAGATCCTCATGGCGACGATGGTCTGCAATATCTGGCTGGCGATTCATGCTTCTTCGCGCCGAGGATGCCGTGGGTGGTGATGACGTCGTGGGTGGTGATGGGGCCGTGGGTGGTTGGGGCAAGGGAGAGAAGACGGTGAGAGAGAGAGTGAGGATTGCCGAACTGGGGAGAGGGAGAAAATGATAGGGTTTAGGATAAAAAAAAAATATTTAATATTAATATTTAAATATGCTAATAGCTGATTTTAGAAATATTAAAGTTCCCATCTGGTTTCAGAATTCATGATTTTAATGGTAGGCTTTTGTGTAATTACCACTTAATAAAAATAGGAAAATGAAGAAGAAGGTGGGTCCTTGGGGCTACTGGGCTTACAATTCAGCAGCCTACGTATAGCTCCAAACCCATATTTTTCTACTCTTTTTCAACCAAAAAAAGAGGGTCGGCCCAACACAATGGTCCTTAGGGCATTGTGCTTCAAGGTCTTGCATAGCCAAGGGCACTAGGGCCACTAGTGCCAACCCTAAGCTCAGGTTACCCATGCCAAAGGTGAGTTGACTCTTACGCTTTGATCAACTCTACTTCAAAGAGATTGCTAACCAAAATTTCACCAACATGACTACGGTGCCTCATGAACTATAAAGTATGCTCTTGCTTCATTGGATGACAAATACAGAACGTTATGGATTCTCAATAAACATTGATTCAATTTTGCGCTTCTATCATAGGCACCAATCAAGCTAAGTTAAATTTATAAATTAGGGTCATCAACTTGACCCTTTGTTTGTTTTGGGATGATTTTTTTTCGCGGCTAATTTATCTAGAGAAACAAATTATTAGGGATGACAAAATACCTCAATTTTGCGCTATTAGAAAATTGGGACCAGGAATGTATTCCTCTTGATGCTTATTTATTGCTTTTTAAAAAATAATATTAAAAATAAATTGGTAAATGTGAATATCTTATCCCCATCTAGACAAGCGAAAATTCTTGATTGGACGGAAGATGGGAAGGGAATGCCCCGATATCGCTCCATTCCATTATCATCCATATAGATCATTCTACCCCGTTCAATCATACAATCCTTTCTTTTTCTTTTTAAAAATAATAATGAAATAATTTATATTGGACTAATGACACGTCTGACATAATATATCATCCTTTTGTCCCTGCTGAACTGACAAAAAATAACAATAATAAAATTATATACGAACTATAAACACCAAGCATCCTAAAGTAAGTTGGTTCGACCTATTTACACTTAAGATCACCAAACATATGGGAAGCGCATGAGGTGTTGGCCAAAAGCGGGAATTGTTACAAGTAAAATAAGTTGCACAATGTTTAGGTCACACACACTTGTACTCTAATAGTCATTATATCAAAAAACATAACGTTCATTTCTTCTACTCAAATACGCCGCTTTGTTCAGTCGCCGCCGAACCTTTCTCCCTCCTCTCTTACACACTCTTCACTCCACCGTTGGTAAACCCTTCTTTCTCTCACCTTTTTCTGCATGAATTATGAATTTTTTTTTTTGTGGTTTCTTCTCCAGACGCTCAGAATTTAAAGTTGTCCTATCTGCAGAGTTTTAGCTATGAATTCAAATTATGCATTTTTACCATCTTTCTTGAATTTGAGATTTTTTTTTGCATGCAAAATTGGAGGAATACTGTATGTCTTGTAATGCATGCTTCTGGAGCAGCTTCACTCTCGCTCGCTCGCTCACACACACACACACAGACGCAGTACAAAATCCAACTACGAATTTGAGAATGATCCTCTTTTTTTTTTTTTAATTAAATGTAGCATGAATTTTGTATTAGGAATTTAATTATGTATTCTTGGTTTAGTTGATTTAAGCTATGCGGGTATGATTGTTCATAATTTGGGTTTTGTTACTGGAGTCATAATTGATCATCTAAGCAGTTGAGGGATCTTTTTTTTTTTTTTCCGGGGTTTTTTTACATTTAATTCCGTTTATTTTGATACCAGGAGAGTCAATTTAAACATTCAAAATTATTAACTACAACATAAGGCTTTTTCCTAATAAATTTGGAGTAGACTATATGATATTTTTTGTGACTCCATTATATTCAGACTGAAGCTTATGAAAGCTGAAATATATCAAATTTTACAATTATACTAAAGAATTCCGGTTTATGTTTTCTTGGGAACTTTCCTTCTCCAAGTCAATGTAAGACACGACTCAACTATCTAAGTTATATATTAAGTTGTTCTATGTAGTTTTACTTCAACCATGGTCAAAATTTTGAGTTTTACAAGTGAAGATGGCCTATTAGAGGCATTAGTCCCTGTTGGTACATATTCTATAAAGCTTAATTTTTTTCTTACACTAATTTTCAACCGCATGTTCTTCCAATAAAATAACTTTACATGTAAACCCATAATTTTTTTCCTACTTTTTAACTACACATTCTCTAAAAATCTCACTTTCCACAAAATATAATCTCAAAAAATCTACATCAAATGGACTTTTAATTAATTTATATGTTTTTCCTGTAATTTGGGTATGGATTTCGAAACTCTAGCTGAATTGTACTAAATCAGGCATTGATTATGTAGATTAAATGGATTATAATGATTCTTCCTCTGATGTAATGATATGGCACAATCTTGTGTGGTTAATCTTTATCTTATCATAATTGATTCTGATGATTACATGGTTATAATGGTTCTTCCTCCGACTTACGATGCGTGCACACCTTTATCTCATCACAATCGCTTTAGCTTCCACATTATATAACTTTGGTCTTCACGATTGTCTTTTTTATTTGGAACAGAGGTACAAACAGGCTCTGCCCCCATGTAGATCATCAAAGATGTGTCTAATAATGATATTTTCTTCATATATTTATTTATGAATGGCAAAAGTTTCCTCAAGAGACGAACTATCAAATGGGAAATATGTCTAAGGAAGAGATTGAAAATCCAAAGTGTATGGAAAATATCTCTGTTGATGTAATTGAATTTGCACGTGGCAAGGACAAAGGAGTTGTTGCAAAAGAGGATCCAGATGCAACTGAATATTCAAGCTCATTCGCCGACACCACTTCTGGAAATGGGAATAGTTCTGAATTGAGTGACGCTGAAGTTGAATCGCAGTTTTTTGGCGACATTGATGTGATGCCTCCATTTGGACTTAATAGTATATTTCCAATGAGGTGCGGGGTTTTCCGCTTATCTGTTCTTTCTTCCGCTTATCTATTCTTCCTTGTAGTTTACAAAAAGAACACCATTTGATTATTTGTGAACCGTGCTTTATACATCATTCATATGTTATTTAAAATTTCTCATGACCACTTTTATGTATTTTGCCTTATTTTAAGTAGTTAGATTAAACTAACTCATAAACCAGACTTTCTAATTATTGAAAGATAATGATACATCAGAAATGATCTCCTCGTGGTTGGAGCTTAGCTGGACAGATCTCTCCATTCGCTCGTTCCTTTTAATTATTTCCGAATTTTTAGTTTGTCTGATGTCTAGCATAGAGATATTATATTTTATTTGTCCACTAGAGTTGGAATATTTAGCTTTTGTTAGTTATAAATGCTGAAATATAGGGTGGCTCTCTCTAGCTTTTATGTGCATTAAGTTTAGGCCTAGTCGTATCTACTCACTAATTAAATATATTGCTAAAGTCTAAAGATCAAGGGAAATAATTTGAAAAAGAGCCAGTTTTCCAGCACTCGGAAAATAATGACGAATAAATGCTCAACTGATTTAATTTACTTCTTTCAGGAAGAAAAAATTGACCACTCACTGGAGAAACTTTATACGTCCTCTGGTGTGGAGGTGCAAATGGACAGAATTAAGAATAAAGGAATTGCAGTCACAGGCATCAAAGTATGACAGGTGCATCGCAGCACATGATCGAAAAAAGTGCATGTCAATAGATCAAGGAACAGTTGAACAATCTGGCTCAAGGTCGTTACCATTTAGATCCCAAGATTGTAGAAAAAGGCCAATGAAGAGAAGAAAACGGAAGAGAGTGGAAGATACAACTGATATTGCATCATATTTATCAAATCATATTCTTTTTTCTGGTCATGGTATGACTTCTTTCTTTATACCACTGGATTGTGTTGCAGAAGATGACAAAAAAGATTTTTTTATGTGTATTTATTCTATAATACCATGTACAATCTGGCATGTTTGCTGTCTCTATTTTTCTGTCATGGTTGTTGTAGAGAAATTACCCATTGACGTGACATATTGCAGAAAATAAGTTGTCTGATTTGGATGGAACTCCTATATGGGAAGACTTTGGTATCCCAGGTAAGCCGCCTAGATGGCCCATTAACCTTTTTTTAGCTTTGGTTGTATATTTTACCTATATGTTTATGAAGCCTTGTCCTTCACTTTCATGAAGTTCTGTGTTAGTTGTAAGAATGCATAATCTCAATAAGGGGATTGAATTTTGATGTGAATCATTGTTGCCCGTGAATTATCTCTAGATAAGTCTAGAAGTTTGATGTTTTAACTAAAATGACAGATCTTTGGCTATGAAATTTTATTAAACACATATCTGGTCAGCATTTCTAACGTTTTGAGTTCATATTAACCTTGCCCTACGTAAGAATAAAGAAAAGGGGATTGTTTGGAAGCATTTAACTCGTTTCCAGTCTTATTGTCGCTTATTTTAGATTTTTTTTTAGTTTAGTCTCATTACGTATGGTTAAATTTGTCTGGATTTTTATGACAAAGTTGTAGATAATGTGCTTCGTTTTTGCTGGATACGAAAATGTATTATCCACACATCATGTTTCCCAATAGGTTCTAGTTCAAGCCAGGTTTGATTTATGCAAGGAAATTTCTATCAACTTAAAATGTTATTTCTATTAGTTTAAATTCCAAACTTCTCAAGTTCTGAACCCATTTTTACCCAGATGATATGAAGTCCTAGGATGATGCCCATAAGATACTGGACATCATTAGTATTTTCTTTCTAATTTTCTTCAATTTGATACCTTTTTGAAATTGATATGCTCATCTGATTGGTATATTTACTCATAACCTACACTAGGCACCCAATTATAATTTATGCCAGACTGTTGCATTTCTGTGAATAATACAAGTATTGTTATGGGGCATACAAGAAGAAATGTATTACTCACGTCTTCATGTCAGGATTTATACCTCTTTACTTCCATAGATCTACTGGAAGTTAGGTTTCAATTAAAGTTTTCTCATATCACCGGAAAGGCAAAATTTAATTTTCTTGGTAAGCTTGTTCCCTGCTGGTTGATTTTTGAAAAAATCAAGCTATATGACTTTGTTGACTTGTCTAATGAGCAATTTGTCGTTCAACCACCCAATAATCAGTACCACAAAACATAGCAGATTTATTAACCATAATGTAGAATTTACCTATGAAACATGAGTATTTTTCTACCACGTAGAATCCTTTTAACATTTCTTTTATCCAACTAACTCTAATTCTATGCTTTCATCGTCTTCATCTTCTCATCAATTGTCAAAGCTAAATACCTAAAACTATCAATGTTTTGAACAGTTTAATTGTCTGCAATGAATGGCTTGAGTACTATTCTTATTCCTACCATTATTGGAGAAAAAAAATCATGTACAAAATGCCACTTTCCCAGGTCACATGTGACATTTCTAGTTTTCTTGCTTTTGAAACTTTACAATGAGGGTGTTTTGTATTTTAATACTTGGGAGATTATTTCTTCAACTGTCTTAATCTTGTAGAATGTATCATTTTCTTTCTGTTGCTCTGATGAAAAAGCTTTGTTTGTGATGCGGGATGAGTGTAGCTTCTCTTTTATCCATGTTTACAGATCAGAATAACAATGGCCATGATGAGTCTGGAGTTCATGATGATTATTCGTTTCTTGAAGACAAGGACAGCGACCTCGAGCATATCCTTCGCAAGATTGATTTAGTGCAGACTTGGGTTCATAAAATGAAGGTTCGACTTGATTTTACAATGGTACAAAATGCAGCAAAATTTTCTTCGTCTGGAAACTTGAGCCAGCTTGTGGCATGTAATGCTCAAACGAGCTTCGTCCATTGCTCTACATTCTCTGCTCATAATGGAGAGACAGTTTCAGTTGGAGGTCTATATATGCCAACTCAGCACTTGTCATACTATGGTCTCGGAGATTTCATTATGCCTGAAAGTACAGCGTCGAGCTGCAGAGAGGCCATTCCCGTACCTGATATAATTGAAAGTACAGTTGGCTTATTGTCATCTGTTGATGTCACCCCGCATCAGGCAGAAGTTGCTGATACGTCTGAAAGAGTAAGACACAATCCTTTGTTCATCAGTAATATTTGCATGGTACTCTGTTAAATAATGTAACCATACCCCCCGCCCCCCAATCCCCACCTCTTGCTGGCACTAAGGTTAGCGATGCCCTCTTTAATACATTGTGAAAACATGTTTACAGGGAAAAGAAAGACTTGATCGAAGGAATTTAGACGACCTAGTAAAAAAACAACCAACTCGACTGGATGTCCTGAGTCTTATTTTTAGTAAGGTCACCTTGAATAGTTAGTCATTAAATAGCTCTCAACAAGGATGTTGACCTTGAATAGTTAGTCATTAAATAGCTTCTCAACAAGGATGTTGCAGAAAAAAAAAGTCAGAATAAGCTCGGCACGCAATTTATGCTCTTAGATTTTTACCCCATGTAGAGGAATAATATATTTTTTCCCTGAAGGTACTGTTATGTCCAAGTTATCTGTTAGCGTTAGGCTTTCTATTTTGGACACTTTCCGACTGTTTTCTACAGATTGTTGATAACATACTACATAACGAGGGGGTCGAAGTGGAGGAGCCACCGTCCGAAAATAATTATGGTGAACCTGCCGAGAAGCATCAAGACGGTGAAAATAGTGAGAAAGAAGACAGCAGTAACGCAGCCCTTCCAGAATTAGAAACTGACGCAGGCGGAAAAACTGTTGTATCCCAAGAACAATCAATTCTGGAATCTTGCTTAGCTTCAGAGATACATTTTCCGATTAATAAAAGAAAGCGAGGAGAGCGTAAAGCTGGTAATTGGAGTCGACAGAGGACTAATGAACCTGACAGCCAATGACTTTGATGGCATCTTTCAGTGTTGTTCGAGAAAATGGCTGTTCGGGTTTCAATAGGGATTGAGTTGTCCACCTGGATAAGAGTCAAATTCTGTAGTTCGTAAACAGATCACTTGGCATCTGTTCTATGAATTCAGGGTCTGGTCTGTGACATTGAGATTGAGTTATTGTCTGTCTGTACTTCTAGATTTGTATGTTAACTTGACTGCTAGGTGTCTCTGTATAAACTTTCTGGTAGAGATTCTGAATACCGTTTCTCTCCTTAGTTTCATCGATTTCAGCAATGTACTTGTCACCGCCCTCCTCTTTCCATGGGACTCAGAAATGAGAGAGCTATTTGGGGTCCCAAGTACGTGCGAATGAGCAGGGCCAAAAAAACTCCCTAACCGAATCGAGTTGAGCCGTTCTTCTTAAGTTAAATATCCAAACAGAAATCTAAATCAAGAACAGACAGTTTGGTTCGGTTCTCAATTCCAGATCAAAAACTGAAGAATCGAATAAGAACATAATTTCCCTAATTTTTTTAATTAATTTATTTAAAATAAGTCAAATTATTTTATTTTTTCTAAATAAATTTAGTAACTAGTTATTTTAGCTCAACCCGAAAATATGATTTTTCCTATTTCTAATTTTCAGTTCAACGTCAACTTAATCAAATTAATCTAAGTTTTATCCAAATATGTTACTCTACCGTCATGTCATTTCTATCGTCCTGGAGAAATCGAATTGAAGCTTGATAACACCTTTCTTAATTATTGTGAGTTCTTTATCTTCCTCTTCATGTGATTTTAACAATCAAATTTGCGAAGAACTAAAGAGAAACGCAAAAGACATATAAGATTGGACTATGTTATAATTCAAAGAGTTTTTTGGAGCATGATTTTAAGGGTTGACTCTTTAAAATATAGAGCATCTCATGTTCAAAGAGTTCCTTGGGGATGGACTTGACTGGATAATTTGACTTTTTGGGAGTTGAGCTGCTTCAATAGAATTTAGCTATTTCATTGGCTATGTTAATATTATGGAATGGAATGTTTCTAAGCTAAGACTTAATCTTGACCATATGGAAGCACGTGATGAATCTACATTTGTAGCAAACAATCGTGTGGACTCAGTTAATCACAATAATTGAAAAAAAAAATTCAAAAAATGACTCTCAAGATTTAACTACTGTTTGGCCCCCATTACGGGGAAAATTTAATGTATAGAATAGTGTTTTTTGAAAAATGAGTGGTTGAAAAAGAAAGAAAAATTTTCGATTTACGTGTAATATTATTTTATGGAAGATTGTGTGGTTGAAAATAGGAGAGAGAAAAATAGAATGTAATGTAATGTAATTTAATGAAAATCAAACAAAGGCTTAATATAGTGGAAAAATTAAGTCTTGATAGAGCATGTGATCCTTCTTATTTTGAGAAATAAATCGATACTATATAATTTGATGAGGGTCTCAGACAACATGATATTTTACTCGAGAGAATTGTTGATAAAGTATGAGCAAAATTTCACATCAGTTAGTCACGAGATAAATTGTTTATTAAATTGAGTTGATATAAAAAGCTTTAATCATTTAGAGCAAAGGGCAAACCCTAATCCCAAGAAGCAATAATAATGTCTTTTGGGATTGAACACCATTAATAAAATTAATCATGATGCCATCCATTAGCATGAAATTAAGTAAAGCTGTCACATGCCTTTTCCACACAATTTTACCTTATGTTTTCTTGTTAAGTGAAACTAATTTGTATTTATTTCATTCTAGTCATGACCTTTGTAACATGTTTGTCTATTGCGTACTCGACACAATTAGATATAACTAAAGGGAAAAAAAAAATCAAATTCGTTCATTACTGTGACCAAATGTTTCCTCAATGTACGTCATCTAAACTTGTCAAAGGTTCGGAATTCTTCAATAAAATCTAAAAGTTCTGTTAAAATAAGCTAGAAGTATAGAAAAAAGTAATGTTGTCCAAATCCAACTAGGCTTAGTGACTAATATTACACTATGTAGTAGTGTGTGGAGTGGAGACATAATCCAAAGCACTAATAATTTCACTAAGAAGATTATTAATTGTTTAAAAGTCACATACACGAGCATTAGGGCATGCTTTCACTGTATTTATTATAAGTGTACCAACTGATGTAACATGCTCACAACCGTAACATGTAAGTGTGCAAATATAATTATAAGCATTTAAGCATTTCTTTTATTTTACTCGACTTGTGACGAAATATCTTTCATGCCCGTATAGATTTTATGTTACGAAATGTTTCTAATCATGTACAAGTTGTATGATGGATAAGCAAATTAATTTCTTGAATTGTTATTAATTGAATGGGTCATAAGTAGATTTTCAAGGGCAGAAATCATTGATCGCCACATACTCGAAAATGATAACCACCTCTTCCTAGTGAAGGGAAGTCATCTACATAGGGGATGGGAATCGACCTCAACAAAAAGAGACCAATTTTCTTTTATACGAAAAATATGTACAAATTGCTTGAAAAGGCAGCACTACTTTCATTTTTTATTTAGTTTCGACCTCGTGTTTCATACATAGTATTTGTATTAAACGAGATTGAACGATTTTTTCTTTAAACCCTCATGTATTATCTAATCTACCTTATCAATATCAGATATAAATTTTTTCTAAATTGTAGTAAGTGATTAATTTAATTAAAAAGCAAAGATTTACTTTTACACTTTGGAATTTTGAGTGTTGAGTCTTCACTTTATCTCTCTCAATCAGCAGGAATAATGCCTCCAAAAAGCAAAAGGAGAGAGTAATTGATAAAGAAAGAAAAGACATTGCCAATTGCCAAATGCCAACCTATCTTTGCTTTGAGTTTTCAAAAATCAAATGAAAAGCTCTATATATAGAACCAAATGAAATTTATAGGAATTTCTCAAGCTCTGCAATACTCACAACTATCTGCTTAATTTGTTCATGCAAGATCCAAATAACTCTCATTCCAGGTACCCTCTCTCTCTCTCTCTCTCTCTCTCTCTCTCTCTCTCTCTCTCTCTATATATATATATATATATATATATTTCTCGAAGAAAGTGTTAGTTCGTATTGGCCGTTCAAGTCTGATAAGGTTTTTCCTAGTACATGGCGTAAATATTTGATGGTTTTTTTTTTTTTTTTGGGGTATTCAATTTTGTTTAATATTATGTATAAAATATGCTTTTTTCGGCGACATGCATTTATGCTTTTGAGGATATGTAGCATGAGATCATTACGTCTAAGAATTTAAGTTGTTAGGGAGATGAGGAAGTTATTTATTTGTATTTTTCGTTCCCATTACATGCTATTTGATAACACATAAAGAGCCCGTTTGAAAGTGATTTTGAGAATTGATTTTTTGACCGTTAGGAGAAAAGTGAGATCCACCTGTGAGAAAAGAAGTCAAATATAACGGCTGAAATAGTAAAATAACGGTCAAAAAATCAATTTTTTGGGTCAAAAAATTGTGCCCAAATAGGCCCAAAATTCTTTTTGAATTATTTTATCCCGATTTATCTGGAATTTAGACTTAATTAAAATAATTAAATATAAATATGTTATAGGTATTTTACCAAATTTAATAGTATTAATTCTCGTAGTTCATAAAAAAAAAAAAAAAAAAATAGATACAATTTCATTACATTGTATTTGAATCTTCAATTTCTATGGCCTGTGAACCGTGGTTTAATGGGTATTTACCCACTGAATTTGAGCTTAAGGCCCAAGTGTGGTAGAATATAAAGACTTGACTTTGAAATCGAGTCACGGCGCTTCAAGCCGAGTTGCTTGGGTCTAGGCTGCCCAAACATTCTGAACGTCTAAAGGTTTGTTTGGCAGGAATTTTATTTTTTATTTTTAATGGAAGAAATTTTTGAGAAAATTATCTGGTGTTTGAATGAATCAAACGGATTCAAAAATAGATTTTCATTTTCAAAAGTTCATTTTGACTTTTCAGAAGATATTCCAAACGAGTCCCAAGTTAAATATTCTCTTTTTAGAAAAATAAAAATTAAGCCCCTGTTTGACCTCCATTAATTTTCATTACATTACATTCTATTTTTTTCTCTCATATTTTCAACCATACAATCTTTCATAAAATAATATTACACGTAAGTCGAAAACTTTTCTTTCTTTTTCAACCACTTATTTTTCAAAAAAAATACTATTTCACCAATTTTCATTTTCAGAAAATGGGGTCAAACGGGGACTAAATAAGAACCCAATTGTACACCTGCGTATGATTTGGGAATCGTGGATTTGTCTGAAGTTGAAACGTGCAGTTGACTTTTTTAGTCACCAATCATCACTGCAAGAAATCTACACCGTCCACTTTGACTTCAATCTTTAGACCTATCTTGTGTTGACCAATGCACTAATACGTTTGAGAATAAGATTTTTAAGAGATAACCCCGTGATCTGTCCCTGCCTTGTTGACCATTTTGAGGGCAAGTTGCTTCTAGTGGTTGTGCTTTCAATCTGATCCGTTTAATTCGACGATCCAACGTTTTGATTAAAAAATTGCTCAATGCTTTGATAGAGATGTGACGATACATTGAATTTGTAAGTTCTTTGATTGAGATGTGACGATACTTTGAATTTCATAATAGGTGCACGTTTTATTTATTTATTTATTTTTTTGGTAGGAAGCCTTGGTATCAAAGAGCAATGGAGAAGGCCACACTATGGAAATCTAATCCAAAATCTACTAAAATTCCCACAACAAATGGCTTATTTTGGAAAACAGTTTCCAAAACAACAGAGGTTTCCTCACCAAATTCCAACAAATCCCAAAAGATGAGAAAATGCACATCTTTAAGGGTGGCTACCTCATTTACTCGAGTTTGTTTATGTGCGCCAATATCTTCCTATATGGACGTATTTCAAGACGAAGTTCCATCTAGACGAAGTTATAGCTATCCACGATCAAAGCCCTTCCTTGCCTCCTCTCAAGAAAGAATTACGAGTGCAAGAGCGAGCATTGACAAACGGAAAATTTTTCGTGGGAAATCTTTGACAGATGATGTTTTAATGAAGAGGTTTGTTATTGAAGAAGGAGTTATGCAAGTTAGAAGAAGAAATGAGATGGAAATTATTAAGAGAAGAAGTGTGATGAAAAGGAAAAAACTTGGGCCAAGTCCTTTGAGTAGAATGGTATTGGCAGAGGATTAGTAATGAGTTTATTCTAGAGATCAATTTTATTTCCTTGCTTTTATTTTTCACTTCTATAATTAGAATAATTGCTTATTATGGCCTGTGTCTTTTCAATAAATATTTTTTGGGTTGTTCGATTTTGGTTACGGTGAATTATACAATATTCAACAATATTAAAGGCTGATTTTGAAATTAAGATGTTTTGATAGTTCTCTGAAAATGTTTTATTAGGTTAGAAGAACTTTTAAATGAAGTTAGCCAGTGGTAATTTTTCATGAAGTTATTCTACAAGCGAAAATAAAAACGGAAGCCTTACCAAATGAATCATAAAAAGAAAATAATTTGTACAAAACACGTCGAGCCCTTTTGCCATTTGGCTCATTTGTAATGTGTATAAAACACGTTAACCTTTTTGTCATTTGACTTTTATAACTTGTCTCTTTCGATGGAATATTATTGAAATTGTATACTAAACTATACTAATGAAGGAAAATCATTTAAATTTTAATTATTGTAATACTTTAATTTTAAATGAGTTATCGATTTTTCAAGTAATCAAGAAAATGTGAAAAAGTCAATATTATATTTGATTATCTTAGAAGAATGCCTACCAGCCGACAGGATAACATAAAAATATGGTGCATTGTAGCTTTTGGCGGCAAGGAACATAACAATCTAGAAAAAGACAATAAATAAAAATTAAATAACAAGATAATAAATTAAAATTGGAAAACTAATATGTGTATTGAAGTATGAATATTTTGTTATCGTAAGTAAGATTTAAGTCATTTGCCGTTTAATGTTTTGAAGAATAAGTGTGTCAAAAATCTTGTGTATTATCATACCTTAACTCAGAAGTGCGATGCAACTCGATTTATTAATTAGTGAACGAAGAGAACCCGTGCATGATGTATTCACAATCTACAACCTTAAATCGATCTAAATACAGAAATGAGCTCAAGGCTTTGCAATAAAGATATGTTTCTTTCGCAAACAAAAATCTCCCCATAAAGTGAAATACATCACATTGACTTATTTATAAATTAATTTTTTGTTGCTTTGTCAACTTATTATTGAATAATTTGTATTGTTGTTGCCTTGATGACTAATGTTGTTATCTTAACTTTCTATTATTGGATTGTTACAAGTCAATCTAGGGAATGCACATTTCATGATGGATTGACCGAAAGTCAATCTTTAATAACTGTTGTGCAAAACTTCATAAACGAGAACCTATTGAGAAAGTACATCTATGTTCTACGATAGATGAATATTATGTTTCAAATTCTCGACGAAAATGACTTAAACAAATAATGCCTTATAATGATCTTTCGTATTATATTGACTTTCTTAAATTTTAGCACATTTAACAAATTATTAGATTGATCATGTACAAAGGGACATACAACTCTCACATGCATGTATAAATATAGGAATTATTCTTCTTGTACAATTGGGATTAACAACCCCAGTTGACAATGTACTCACAAGAGGGGGGGATTCAAGAATTTTTTATTCAGCGTGAGCCTTCCTCATATGTGTTTAATTGTCAACTCCAATTATACACATAACACAATTGCTATAAATAGAGAGCTCCCCATGGACTTGTACCCCAATCTACAATCTAAAGCAATCATTCAACACGCCATGGCATGACCCAGTCAAATGAGGAGTTTCTTTATTCAATTTACTTGTAAGTTTGTTTGCTATCATAGATAAAGGATTAATGGAGAGTAAAGTGAAAACGTGTTCTTGTTAATGACACCAAATTTTACTTTAAAGTTTTTAAAATTTTCAATTAAGATCTAGTATTTCTCTTTAATTAACTGTTATCCAAATTATCTATAGTCCCTATCATATCTCTCCCCAAAAAAATTTAAATTTGTATCTCTGTCCTCTACGTAAATATGAAATTGTGTCGTCAAGATCTATGTTCCTGTGAGATTTGATTGATTCTTTGGACATAAAAAAATTAAAGATTTATAACTCGTTTGCCAAAAGAATTACTTGGCCATGTCGGATTTAATGACATTTTTTTGACACAAGAATCCACTGGCAAGAAAAATAAAAAGTTGGTTCAAATTCTTTTATTTCATTTTTGGTAAAAAGATTTCTGCCACGCGTTTAAATTATTCTTTGATATTAACATTTTCAAATTTATTCATCATTAATTTTTGACTTTGAGTTAAAAGATCTTTTAAACTAGTTTGGAAATGTCACCATTAGGTTAGACTAAGAGATTAGGATTGCGAGGTGAGGTGAGGTGAGGCCACACGAATTTTTACCCTTCAAAATTGTGTTTAACGTATATTGATTTTTAACGGTAGAATAGACAAATTTATTTGGTGGGGACCAAGCTAATTGAATTTGCACTAATTAATAAGTTGGTGACGATGACTATATTTTTCCAAAATCTAATAATAACATTTATAATATAAGACAAGTGAGAGAGATGAGCCATACATTTGTTTAATAATAAGTGGTTAAGATTATTGTCTTAAGTATAAATAATTTCCATTCAAGTTAGTTGGAGGTGGCCATTGGCTTAAGCAATTGAGTGCAAAAGTGGGCAACTTCCTGCCTGCTCCCCACCCCACCACCCCACGCCACTCGCCCTTTTACGCCCAAAATGTATCATATAAACTAGTCTTTCATCATGGATCATCATTTTAAAAGAAAAATTATAAAAACAAAAAAGCTAAAAAGGTGGGGAGAAAAAGAAAGTTTCAATCTTTTGCAAGCAAGAACCATATTCAAAGTTTTTAACAAACACACACACACACACACACAGTTGGAAAGTTGTGGGTAGCCAATTTTGAATCAAAGAAACCCCAAGAAAAGCTGGTCTCAAGGGAAAGAAGAATGTTTTGGTATACTCTTAGAGAGGTAGGTTAGAGGATTCTAGAGAGGGAAGTCTATATACATACGTACATATATGTAGAGAGAGAGAGAGAGAGAGAGAGAGAGAGAGAGTAAAAGTGGTGTTGCAGCTTTTTCTCGAAGGCTTCTGAAGGTTGGAGAAACTAGTTAAGGTAAATATTTATCTTGATGGATTTATTAGAATATAACATATGATCTCTTGGGATTAGGCCACTTCTGCCTATAAATTATTAAAAAGTAATTTTGTTTTATAAGTTTCAGTCTTTCCTCTTTTCTAGGCAAACATATATTCTTGAACTGTTACATATTGATTTTTCCCAAACTCATCTGTCTGTATGCGAGTGTTTGGGTAAGTTCCTAGGTGGGGTGGGGTATTAGAATTTTTCCTTCTTTTTTTTTTTTTTTCCCTTTGTGAAGTGTTTATAATTTTTTTTCCCAGATTTAAGTCATTGGTAGTTCTTGTTAGTTTCTTAAATTTGCTGATTTTGGGATAATGCCTAAAAACCTTATCTTCTTTAGAAACAGTGTTTTAGGCTAGTAATTTCCCATTTCAAAAGTAGTTTAATATTAATGTTTTCCGATTGACAAAAAAAAAATAGATAATTATTAAATTTTCTGTGGAATTGATCGATTATATTTGCTTCACATATGCGTGCAGATGTATTTTTCAAGTTTTTCTACCTAATCTTATATACTGAAGTCATGTTTGGTAATAAAGAATTGAGGCCTCCAAACTGAAATTAGAAATTTTTTTTCATCAAAATTTGAATGGACTTTTGACAAATTCTAATTAGAATATGTCGTGTGTAGATCTAGAAAAGGTCATAAAAGCAACAATCTTAGTAAAACATTCGTATTTTGTCGTGGTTAAAGAACTGTTCTTTGGATTTTTTAGTGCATTTAGTGATGAACTGAACACAATGACAGAAAAGGATTCATATAGCCGAAACCATTATCGATAACATGGAAGTCACGAAAAAATTTGGATAGCAAAAGTTGAGCTGTTAACTCTGTTTTTGCTTATTCAGGTGGAATTAGTACTGATATCAACATGGGAAAGAAGGGAAGTTGGTTTTCGGCCATTAAGAGGGTTTTTACACACAACTCAGAGGTAAGTCCTACCGATGTAATCCTTTTCTCAGAATGGTGATGTCAAGTTATTGCCACACGTAACCATGTTTTAGAACACAAAACAGTCAAATTTCTATATCAGCATAAAAGAATTGAAACTCAATAGGTAGTAATATTTCATTAATGAATATGATAAAAATTCATCACGATAGACAAAGATTTCAGAAGTTTAAATGTCTTCACCTTCTCTCTGATTTACTTTGATAGATAAACATCAATTTAATGTTACCGTACACTGAAATTGCATGGAAAATCCTTGGAAGAGTTTATTTATTTTGTCCTAGTTTAGATGGAATTTTGAGAATTATTGATGTCTTAAGAGGCAGTTTTATCAAAAGCACCGCATAAAGGCCTTACTAAGTTTTTAGTGCATAAGCTGCTCTATTTATTGGAGCATGTCCCACATCAACAAATTACTACTTCACTATTTAGTCTATCTGCCTGGACGGCATGGCCTTTCCATTGATTGCCAACATGTTTTCAGATGACAGTTTTCTTGCTATTAGAGTCAAGTAGAACAGAAATTTCCAGAAGGCGCATTTATTTTATTTCTTCTAGTTATTCATCATTTCTTATTATGCTAAAATTGTGCATTGTTCTTGTTTCTCAATTGCACCATTTTTCGTACACCTATCCATGTGGAAGTTGAGGTTGCACATGTGAAGAAAATAAACCTTGTCTTAAGGCACATCCGAATCCTTTAAAACTGACTAGAATTTGTATCCATTGGTGCAGGGATCAAACAAGAAAAGTGGTAAGGAAAAGAAGAAAGGGCAAGGAACATTTAGGCATGGAGAAACCAAATCATTCATTCCCCTGTTCAGAAAACCAAGCAGCATTGAGAAAATTCTAGGGGAAGCGGATGAACTTCTTATTAGGCCTCCAACATCTTTCGAGCCTCAAATAACGCCACCTGCTATACCTGAGAGGCCAGCATCTCCAAGGGCCAATTCACCTAAATCTGCTTCTCGCAGAGCTCGTTCCCCCAGGGCTGTTACTCCCAGGGCCGCTTCTCCCAGGGCCGTTTCTCCGAGGGCCGCTTCTCCCAAGGCCACCTCTCCTAGGGCTGCTTCTCCCAAGGCTGCATCTTCTAAGGGTCCAACTCATCCTAAGATAAATCAGAAACAAAAGGAAATAAAAAATGTCCACCGTCCAGAACCAACTTTAAGAAACCAGCACCTTTTTGCGACTAAGATCCAGGCAGTATATAGAGGTTACCTGGTAATTTTCTAGCTCAGTCACTATATCTTAAGTTTTAGATGAACGCTTCGTGTTCTTGAATTTGCCTGGATTTTAGGTTTATTAACTGTTTGTATAGATTTGAGTTGTGTTGCAACTTCATACTAGTTTTAGGACTTCAGTGGAAACTATATATTTGCGGATCATATACGTTAATAGATTCAAAAGTGATAATGGACATTACAAATATATTGTTTCAAAACTTTAATTTGAGATGTTGAAACTTATCCACCTCAGCAACTACAAGGTATTATTTTGTCACTAAAATGATCATGGTTGTGCAAGATTTTAGAGGTAGACAGCATTAAGAAAGATGCTGTTTGTAAGCGATTGTTTTCTGTGTAGTCGATTGGTGCAGCCTGATAATGGAGCTTCTCATGTTACCACGTAAAAAATAACAGAAGTAAAAAAGTCCCCAGGGGTGACATCTAGAACTTTCTAATTCCAGCATGACCAATTATTTGATACAGTTATGAGAGGCAAATGTTCTACCATAAACCTTGTTACACTAAACCAATAGATGTCATTTTTATGCAAATGAAAATTTTAACTAGGTAACATTTCTGGGTGAAGAAAAACGTACACATTCAATTTTTGCATGCTACAACAGGACATTTATGCTAACGGATGGCTTAAGTTATACTTGGTTGTTTCTTTTATTAATGACATGTTCACTAGGGAGGATTGGACAACACTGGGCAATATTAAAGAAGAAAAAACTAAAGTCTTATTCACTATATACAATTATGTCTAGTTTTGCACATCAAACATGAACTAGGGCCATAAATCTCACTTTTTGTAGTCTTTATTATTCTTTTGGTACTTGTGATGACTTCACTTCCCAAGTCCAGAAATACCTCAATCACTAGTGCATTCTATATGTTGCTATCACAGGCGAGGAGGAGTTTCAGAGCTTTGAGGGGTCTAGTGAGGCTTCAAGGAGTGGTGAGAGGCCAAAATGTGAGACGACAAACGATGAATGCCATGAAACAAATGCAGCTCTTGGTACGGGTTCAATCGCAAATTCAGACAAGAAGGATCCAGATGTTAGAAAACCAGGCACTCCAGCACCAAGCTTATAGAAACGATAAGGAAGTGGAGAGTACCTTGAGCAAATGGATGTCAAACCAGGTGAGTTTTTACTCAAAGATCTTTCCAATGCTTTCAACTTTCTGTCATTTCATGTCAACCTCATGCATTACCTTAAAGGAATTGGGAAATTACATCTATTCATTTTATTAAATTGTATATGCATGCTGTTATATATGGGCAAACTGCAAATGTCACATCCCCCCTTCTCCTTCCCCAAAGCAAGGCTAAGTGTATAAAATCTCAAGCTACTTGAACAACTTGGAGCCTGGCCTTCTCTTTGCACTATTAGGGGTATGAAAATAATGGTCAGTATGGGATTAAATATTCAACTCCCCCTATCTGAAGTAGGATTGTCTAGTCTAGCTATTTCAAACTACAGTCACATCTCTTCTCCATTTATGTGCAAGGGTTTATGTGTTTCCAAGCCCTTTTGAGACCCTAGTAAATAAATAAATTTATTTTCATAAAAGACTTGCAATGTTTTTCACTACAATAAGCATAATATGTTATAATGCATTGAAGTACTAGTGGAGTGATTAGAGTCTGCAAATGTCTTGAAACATCTTCCTCAAATTTGGAATGGCATTCTATTTTATAAATGACGAAAGCGACATTATTTTTAGTAGAAATGGAGGAGCAGCAGGAAAGAGAATAGGATAAGTCAAAAAGAGCCAACCTACAGAAGACATGCTCCTGGCCTTTCAATATAAATCCTATTATAAACTGTGACGACTTTTACCAATCCCAATTTTTGTCAAAGTGCAAGGATTTTTGCAAGTTGGAGAGTTTCTAATAATAGAATTTACTCTTCTTTCCTTTTTTGCCGTACCTATAGTCTGAGGCCGGTAATCATGAAGATTGGGATGATAGCTTGCTAACTAAAGAGGAAGTAGAAGCCAGGTTACGGAAAAAAGTGGAGGCAGTAATCAAAAGAGAGAGAGCTATGGCCTATGCATATTCTCAACAGGTAAACGGAGAGCACTATCTTTTTATCCAACTGGAAGAAATTTCCAGAAAAACTAGTAGTTCTTGAATATGAATTTATCAGCGTTCTATGGCTTTTTCTCAGTCACAACCCTTGCGTATACAGATTTTTCGTATTTGATTAAAAGGATAGCGAATTGCTTCAATTTTTTGATATGTCGTCCAATTTAACTTAAATTCTAAACTTTTGTTACCAGCTCTGGAAAGCAAATCCAAAATTAGCTCAAACTTCTCTGGACAACCGATCCAATGGATTTCCCTGGTGGTGGAATTGGTTAGAACAAAAGCTGCCTCTGGAAAATAGTTCTCAGAGCCAAAATGCTGCAAAAACTGTTGCTCTAACCCCTCCAAGGCCTATTTCAGAGTACAAGCCTAGTCCTCGACTTCATTCAAGGAATTACAAGCACAACAACTTCGGTTTTAACAATCACGAATCTTCCTCTCCAAGGTCATCAAGATCAGCTATCCCTGTTAGAGCAAAACAATATCGTACCCCAAGTAGGACACCTCCACCAGCAAAAGCCTTGCCACGTACAAGAGCAAGTCCAGCTAATTCAGCCTATAACGTTCCATTGAAAGATGACGATAGCCTCATGAGCTGCCCTCCATTTTCTGTTCCAAATTATATGGCACCTACTGTTTCAGCCAAAGCCAAAGTTCGAGCAAATAGCAATCCAAAGGAGAGAATTCCTAGCACGCCAGGAAGTGACTCAAAGAGGAGGTTTTCGTTTCCTTTGACGCCAAATATCGGTTCTTTCAAGTGGAATAAAGGATCTAACAATGATACAACTTCTCAAAAGGCATTGGAGAAACATCAGTCTGTTGCATCTATAGGAGACTTAAGCATAGATTCAGCTGTTTCCATGCCAGCTACAGCAGGAAGAAAGCCATTTAACAGATTTGTGTGATTTGATTTTGTATGTTTGTTTACTGTTTGTTAACCTCTGTATTAACTATTTTTTTCAGGCTGTTTTTTGTTTTAAGTACTTATGGGGTGTATGAATTGATGATATCTTGATTACAGTATTCTGATGTACAATAATAAAGAAAGAATAGGAAGTGTGCTTGTTTAATGTATAGGATTTTTAAGGTAGAACTTCAGTGTTTTAATCAGACCAAAAAAATAAAAAATCATCTTAAATTTTCGCTTGAGAAACAAATTCTGTTATACGATGCATACTGCAATTTATGATTTTCTTTTCCTCTCTCTTCTTTCTATAGTTATGGATTGAGCGTTAGAAGGATTCTTTTGACGAATTTCGGACTTAAATGCTACGGATATCAAAGATTGAGGACTCTCGAGTTTGAACTACTCAATGTTCAATATGATGCTAAAACCAACAAGTTAAAACGATTCTTCGATATGTTAAATAGCTCAAGTTATTGTTGAGATAAGATTGATAGCAATATTGGTCCAGTATGTTTTGTCGCGGTGTTGATAGGGCAATGTTTAGTTCTACTCCATTTTTAGGAGGGCTACTACTTTCTCGTTAGGCTTGGGAACTCGATGAGATGGTGTTAAAATGGACTGGAAAGATCTTGTTGGGGATGGCCCCTTCAGTTAAAAATTTGAATCAAAACCAACCTAACTCGATTTGATCCGATTTATGGATTGATATATCATAATCGACTGGTCGAGTCGAGCTTTATTGTTTAGCCCGACAACTCGTGGTAATCGACCAATTGGTCTGATTTGTAAAAAAATTTTACAAAAATTAAATGATAGAAGAGTCAAAAAAAGCCATTACAGATTTACCATAATTACATAGTTAGAATATACAATAAGCCCCCGTTTGATATAGCAAAAACTTAATTTTTAATAGATGCAGTCAGGGGCGGACCCAGACGTCTAGTATTGTGGGGTTAAAATTTTAAAAATAATTTTTTTAATAAACAACATAATATCAATAAAAATAAGTTAATATATATTTTGACACTTTGAAAACGTCGTATAATTACATCATTATTAATATTATTAAATAAATTTTGCTACTTGTATAGTTTCGTTATCATTTCGTTGGTAAATGCTGAGTTAACATTGAATAAATTAAATTGAATATAGAAATTAAATGAATTGAAATAAAATTCAAGTTTAGTTTAGGAAGTAAATGAAATTCAAATTTAAAGCAAACATATATAATTCGAAAGTAATTCAAATTGCATTTAATCCGTAACAATCCTAAAAAATTTACGTCATATTTCATGTAAGACTTCCAAATGAAACGATATAAATTATATTAAAAATTTATTGTGCAAAAATAATAATTAATTGAATTTTTTAAAAGAAAAAACGAGTTAGACGTCTTTTTTAAGGCATACGTTTGATACATATTTAACTATTTTCGATATCCGTTTGGACCATTCGATATGAAAACGATGTAGTTTTCGAAACAAACTTTTATATGGCATAGACGATCTGTGGATTCAAATAGCACATGATTGCAAACGAATTTTTAGGATTAGGATATTATCGAAACTCTCAAAATATTAGTTTCAAACGGCCTACTTTAACATGTCATAACTTTTACTATAATTGACCACTTCACATGCCATTAATGAGTGAAAAACTAGGCTATGAGTACTTCGAAATGGTATTAAGAATGCAATATTTTGACTTCATTTGACATCCCGACGAGTGCATTAAAGTAGATTGTAAAAAAAAAAAAAAGTCAAATTTTGTGGGGTCATTTGACCCCACATGACCCCATGTGGGTCCGCCCATGGATGCAGTTATCACTCTTTCATAGAAGCTGATGAAATGAGTGATTGAATAGTTGTGGATCTCATAAAATATGTTATTAAAATTATTTAATGATTCGGACTTATATTTTTATTAAAATTGTAAGCAACACCTAACGGGGCTAATTATATGGGAAAAATTCATATATCCTAGCGTAAGTACAAGTGATTTCAAAACTAAGATGACAAGTTTGAATGTGCAAAAATCAGAAATATAAGACAATCAATTAGTTTCCTAAAAATCAGCGTCCACTTACCTTCAAAAGTTGGAATCCATATATTATCCCATATGGGGGGGGGGGGGGGGGGGGGGGGGGGGGGGGGGGGGGGGGAGAGAGAGATGATTCGTTACCGTTAGTCCCTAAAATCAAGCATCCAGATTCAACTCCCTAAAATACTGAATACACATTTAAATCGCTCAACCACATAATTAATTAATATTTTATTAATTAAATATATTAAGGTCACATATCTATACAATTTGGTTATAGATTCATAATTTAGTTAGTCACATATTATTTTCTGGTCACAAATCATAATTTTTAAATATCACAAATTATTTTACGATCACAATTCAAAATTTTATATGTCACAATTTGTTCATCGATCACAAATCAAAAATTAATACGTCACAATTTGTATATTGGTCACAGATCACAAGGTCACAACTTATTGATGGTCACAAATTAATATTTTTTTAGGTCACATTGGTCACAATTTATCTTTATCGATCACATATTGTTTATTGGTCAGGGATTAATCAATTCAATAGTCACAATCAAACAAATAATATGTGACTACCCCAACCTTTATGAAAACCATTGCCTCCAACAGTATCACCGCCATCATTGCCTCTAGAACCATCACCAGCACCGACAGCAACATCGTCTCCTCCTTGATGTACTCCTGCCCAATGCTAGATCGAAACCTAGAACTTTGCCAACATCACCAACAACTCACATCACAGCCATCACCATCACCAACATCCCGTCCACCACAGTCTCACCACCATCATGATTAGCACTGACATCGTCGCCACACCACCATAGCACACCACTAAAAAAAAATAAAAAATAAAAAATAAATTGAACTCAGCATTGTTGCTACCACCACAATGAAGATAAATGAAAATATAAGCCTTTTTTTAATTCTAATACAATCATTTTTTATTAATTAAACTAAAATGGACACCGTAACAAATGAAATTCAATAACTGGCTTGCTTCATCATTCGTAAAGAACGGATGAACCAAAATTATACCCAATATTTTGATATCGTTAATGCCAGTTTGAATTGCCATGTGATGCGCAATATTGGCTCAGGCACTGTCACTGGCAATGAAAGTTCGATCAAAATCTGCATAATCGTTCAACCACGGATCCAGACCCTATCCACTGGCATGCAATTTCACCCAATTAATTGCCTTCAACGATCCTCATAACACACCGGAAGAGTGTGTTTCGACGCCAATCTATATTCAATAGACACCGTAATAGCCTTAGCTTCAGCTACCAGAGAGTATTGACATAGTTATGGTATTGTGAAGAAAATGTAGAGTCGAAAGTGAAATCGCGGCCGTGGATATAGATGAGGAGCAGGAGCTTTTGATTATGAGATGTAGCACTTTTGGGAAGGAAAAGTCGCGCTGAGACAAAATTTTTCGATGAGAGAGAGAGGGAGAGTGGACGAGTGGAGAGGAGAAATTGGAGAGAGAATATAATTAATTGGAGATGATGAGTGGAGAGAGAGGACGGGTGGAAAGAGTGAATACAATTAATTGGAGAGAAGAAGAATAAGAGAGAGAATATAATTAATTGGAGAGAGATGACAGGTGAGGGGAGAAATTGGAGAGAGAAAGTGATTTATATAATTAATATTTAAATATAAAAAATGTTAAACTACTCATCTTATTTTTGAACCCTAAATTTTAACTTTAGGGTTTTATGTAATTACCACTAATTATAATGATGAATAATGTGCTATATTAATGGGCACTAGTCCATTGGGCTTTTCAGAAGTGCCCAAGGGAGCGCTCAATGAGAGGCCTTGAAAACAAGTAACCCACCATCATTGACCACAAAAAGGCTTGAAGCCCACAAAGTAGCCGAAATATCAATTAGTGAGCCCAACAGAATTAGCATTGAAAGAGTAATGTCGAATGGGCTGGCAAGTTACAGCAGCCAGCCTATGGGGCGTCAAATTGACCTGGACTAGCCATTTGTATCTATCTAGTCAGGCACATTACGGTCTAGAGAGGGCCTACATAAACGTGTACTTTTACCGAACTTTTGTTATTTTTAGACATTGGAACAATCAAGATAATTTTTTAAATCTAAACACTGAATCGATCCGCATAACAGTCAATCTTTGAATTTTTCTGAGTGTACATAAGTCGGGTCCGGGTTCACAAAAAGAGTGGATCCCACAAAATAAAAAATGTCAAAAATTAACCCATCTCCCATTGTGAGGTGTCGGTGGGGATTCCTACCTGTACACCAAGTGCTTCTCTCAATCTTTTGGTCTGAATTGATCCAACTTGCTTTTTTTTTGTTTTTTCTTTCTTCTTTTATTTTGGCAAATGTACTCTGATTAAGAATTAAGTTTTAATTGAAAAAATAGAAAAGAATAAACTCGAATAATCTTAGTTACATGCGTATGGGAAAACTTGCTGGTGATACTGCTGGATCATTTTGATGCTCAAGTCCCATTTTAAATATTTTTTTGAGCCCTCAATTTCTTTCGAACTTTATTTAATCACCAATTATATAGTGTGGATTTCATTATCACCTAGATTGGTGTTGACTCCAAAAAGTGTTGCCAACAGATGCCGGTCCCACCGCGCACACGTGGGCGAATGTTCAACACGCTAAGACACGTAGACGGTCTAAAACGAGCTGTTCAAAGGGCATGGGAGTAGCCCAACGACGCGGGACAGTGACGTTCGAAATTCGACGGGTTGTTCGTGATCCGATTATACAATAATTATCAACCGGTGTTCGTAAATGTACGTGTAAATGTGTATAAACTCGATTTGTATATTGCAAGTAAGTGAGAGAGAGTTGAGTAAAGTATAGTTCTTTGTATTGATTCTTACATTAGCCTTTTGATGTTACACAAAGGGAGTATTTATAGTGATACATGTGAAATGGGAGCCCTTGGATAAGGTGGCACGTGGCCTCATCTCTTTGATTCAAACATCCCATCCTAGGCACGGGGCTTGACTTGCTAGCTTGCTGCGCATTTATTGCTTTGTGCAGGGCCTCCATACTAGTGACAAGACTTGACCTTTATGCTTATGACAAACGTTCCATCAATCATTCGAATAAGATCTTTATGCAGACGATCTCTTGGGAGAAG